CCATCCATCCATCCATCCATCCATCCATCCATCCATCCATCCATCCATCCATCCATCCATCCATCCATCCATCCATCCATCCATCCATCCATCCATTCCTGGGAGGAACCAGCTGGAAAAAGCTCTCATGCAAAGTTCACACAGAAAGTTGATCTGAGTACTTCTGTCTTTACAGCTTTAGTCAACCTATATTTTCATATTTTCCATTATCTATTCAGGAATAAAAGTTTCCTTAGCACAGAAAACTTATACTGTCTCACACCTCCTGAGATAAACCCAACCAAAAGCTCCCCGTATCCTCTGCTGGCTCTCACCTTTCTGAGGGGTCTTTTTACTGCACGTCTCAAATTTCTCTGTGGGTAAATTAATATCTCAAAGACAGACCATGTAGTTTACCTTGTAAACATTCACACTCTGACAATCCAACCATAGATAACTGTTTTTATACCTTCTTGTATTTTTACAGGTTTTTATTTTTTATTTTTTTGCTGGCAAACTGGGCTCTGGAGATCCTTCTTTTAAAGATGCCATGCAGTTGTTAGAGGAAAGCAAACATTTTATAACCTCTCCATAGTGAGACTAAATGTTTTATTAACCTCTGAGTGTTTTCATAACTGTTTGGTCCAAAAGCACCTGTTAGTCAGTCTCCAGAAGAAAAATAAGCACCTTCCTGTAGTTTATTCAAACTGTGGCCCCTGAAAATCCTCCTGTGGTGGTCACACCCTTTTTGAAATGGTGAAATGTGGAGGTAAAGGTTTTTTTCTTCTCTGTAAACCAGCAGCATGCATAAAGATGTAGAGCATGAAATGTTGTTTTATTGAGTTTCTAATAGTGCCCACACAGTCACAGTTAGTTCTGAAGCAAAATGTTCATATTTGATTTTGCCAATGATATGCAGCAGACTTCTGCTCTTTGTTTACATAATGTGTGCCTTTTTTACAGGATGTGAATTTTAATATGCTGGACACAACAGTTGGGGGGTTGTTAAAAAGTGTGGAGGAGTTGCTCTCAGATATCTTTATCCCCACACTGAGGAAAACAAACCATGGTTGGGGAGAGCTGGCCACCCCTCAGTCCCAGGCTGTGAAACAGGACCTCATTACCTCACTTGAAAGCTTTGTGTCTGTTCTGACCCGTGCACAAGAGAGCCTACAAGAAAAGGTAAGAAATAGATGCTACTTTGTGAGTAAATGCAAATAAATAAATATATTTTTACAAAGAAAGAAAGAAAATGTATGCATGCAGCAGCTCAAAGTAAATCCTCTTGTGGCTTGCTTTCAGATTATCCTGAAGGAGTGTGATACATTTGATTTGAGGATGCTCAAAAGCCCAGCAGATTACAAGGCTGCAGCCAGCAGCACAGAAACTATTGAAAAGATGGAGACCTGCATGAAATTTTGGATCAAACAGATAGAACAAGTATGATATTCTTTATGGCATCTTTTGTGCTAAACAGCATGTGGTCTTATTTCAAAAGAACATTTGTTTTTGTTCCATGTTTGGTTGAGTTGGTTTTGTCTGAAGTTGAACATATCAAGTGTTTGCCCAAAAATGTCACATGACATGTCAAAAGAAAAATCTCAAAATTGAAGTAACCAGTATTTGAAATATATGCTATTCTAAAGCAAAACAAAAAAGTTCAACTACAAAGCAGTTATGCCCGGGGTCCAAGCTGCATGCACGTCAACTTTGTCTCAAGCTGTACCCAGCACTTGTTGAGTTGTTTACCACAAAACTGTAGCATGTTGAGGAGTATTTATAAGGCCTATATGAGGCCTTAAGCTCTCAAATGTAGGTCTCTAGTAAAAGGGTTTCTGCAACCATATCCTTTTTGGTCCTATTATTTGTCTTTAGCTGCAATACAGTATTAACATCTTTCAACCAGAATGCCGACTGTGCCTCCTCTGAAATTATCCAAGCCTTCTCAATTTGGTCTTTCTAAAATTATCTTCATGTTGTTCATTTGTATCTCTGATCTCATTCCTAAATGTATCCATCATTGTCATTCCCAAATAGAACCTCAACATCTGACCCTAGGCTACTTGAAGTCCTGCACTTTTGTGACTTCTTGTCTTTGTAGCCTTCCTGTTCTATCTACCTACCTCTCATGCACACAGATACTGTCTTGCTACTGCTGACTTTCATTCCTCTTCTTCCATGTGCATATCTTCACCTCTCCAAGTTCTCTTCCACCTCCCTGTTTTTACCACAGATTAAAATGTCATATGCAAACTTCATAGTCCATGGAGAATCTTCCCTGACCTCCCTTAACTACGTTGATGATGGATAGAAAAAAATCTGCTGAAAACCTGTTTTATATGTATACATATTTTATTGTTAGGAAGTTTAACAAATTTACTTGGCACAAAAAGTAAGGATTTGTATTTGGTAGATTATTACTTTGTTGTAACAATGCTTCTTGACAACAAATCTAACCTGATTGGCAGCACCTGGAGGTACCAGAAGCTCAAAACAGGGATCAACAAAAATAGCAAAATAAGCTGTTTGATAATGACAGAGCGGACTTGGCAATTTCTTTATGTTCAACCCACATACTCAGCTCTACTGCTCATACCTCAAATGCATGTTTTTTTTTTACTAATTTGGTACCAGTTCAAAGAGAGAGAGAGGTAGAGAGAGAAACAGGTTTCACAACGGTATAAAATTGTTTGCCAAGAAGCGTTGTTACAACAAGAAAATAATCTACCAACACAAATTTACTTACTTTTGTGCTAAGTTTAYATAACCTATGAGTAATTTATTCATAGCAAAATTGTCATAAGTCCGCATAAGTTGTCTAAAACATTATATAGGGTTCCCCCCCAAAAAAACAAAAGCCTGGTGGTAGCAAAGTGGTAACATTTTTAATACAGGGGTGGGTAGTGGTAGGAGAGCACTTCATTGACAATTCTAGGTCCAAACCACTTATCCCGTTGCCTCAGTTTTCCCTGGCACTGGCTCTRAATATATGATGCTTAGCCTGGGGGCAAGTAAAGCCTGATGGAGAAATGATGTTATAGTGTGACAAGACCTTAAATCAACTCTGTTCTTCAGATTTTAGTTGAGAGTGACCTGCTGAGGAAAGACGCTGATGACCTCGGCCCTCGGACTGAGCTGGATCACTGGAAGAAACGGATGTTCCGCTTCAGCTATCTTCTGGATCAGCTGAAGAGCCCTGATGTCAGGGCTGTAATTGGTGTGCTCTTAATGGCCAAATCTAAACTTATCAAGGTCAGAATGACAACATTCAGTAGTAGTGGTGGCTCCACATGCACAACATGTGTACATTATTTTCTGCCCCAAATGACGAGAAAATTAAATTTAAATTAATTTTTGTTACACTGTAAAGTTCTTATTTATAATGTGGCATTTCAAAATGTAATTGTATTTTTTCAGTCATGGAGGGAAGTAGACAGAAGGATCACTGATGGAGTCAATGAGGCCAAAGACAATGTCAAGTACCTCTACAGTCTGGAGAAGTTCTGTGATCCTCTCTACAACAGTGACCCTGTAAGTATATATATATATATATATAAAAAAAACAACTAAATACCGTCTGTTGTATTAAAATGATCAACATGTACAATTCACCTTTGTAGAATATTGTTCATTTGTCACAATAAACAATATATTTTTTTGTTTTCTAGGTGTCAATGGTGGATGCAATTCCACGTTTGATTAGTGCCATCAAGATGATTCACAATATTTCCCGCTACTACAACACATCAGAGACAATCACATCGCTTTTTGTCAAGGTACTGTATTTTGATTACTGACTTGCATTACATGTCTGTGTTTATATAAATTAGATAAAATATATAAATGTATCACATGTGTAAGTTAGATCAGTGAAGAGATGTTAATGTGAAAATTAGACAAAATCTAAATAAATTGAAAACTAGATAATTTTCCTCTGTTAAATGTATTTAGACATCAATATTACACACCACTGGATATTACAAATCACGAATGTTTACAACTTCTTTAATGTCAGAGCAGCTGTTATGATGCTACATTACGTGACCGATAATTGCATTTTCAGCTGCTGGCAGGAAAAAATAATTCAAAGGAAGCAATATAATGTTGAATGTCTTAGTTTTGATTAATAACTTAAAATATGCTGGTAGAGCATTATTACCTGATTCAAATTTTAAGAAAAATACATTGCTTAGGATCTGTTTATGAAATAGGAGTTTACTGATTTATAATGGAGCAGGATTTGGTTTTCAGGTTAGACGGGTATAAAATGAAGCTAAAAACAAATCTGAACAACTTAATGATTCATACGTCAGATGTTTGCCTTAAACTCATTGACTGTTGTGTTTTGTCATTTCAGAAACCTGAAAGTATAATTTGAAATACAGAATAAAAAATGTTTTTTCATGCATCTATTTTATTTATTTACTTTGTTTTTATTGAACAAAATGAAACATTTAAAGATTTGCCCTCAAAGGCAAAGTTACAGTACCACATGTAGTCATATTACATAAAAATGCTTTTGCATTAATTACAGGCTTTACAGTGTTTGTGGAAATTACAGATCAAACACAAAACAAATTTTCAAAGCTTTATTGACTGTTCAATAAGCGGAACAAATTTCCACTTTTGTATTTTTACAGCTGTGTTCATAATGACCAATTTCTTGAACTCGTAATTCACAACTCACTTTATACATCCAGGTAACAAACCAGATGATCACTGCGTGTAAGGCCTATATCATTAATAATGGCTCTAATTCACTGTGGGACCAACCTCAGCAAGTTGTTGTGGATAAAATCAAAGCAGCAATTCACCTTAATCAGGTATGAAATAATACTGTTGAAGAAATATGCCATTCATAATCCAAATCAGGTATTTCATGTTTTTTTGTTTGTTTTTTGTCATTTTCAACATCTAAACTTTATGACTAGAGATATTTTCTCTTTTTTGTGGCTCTTATTAAAGAATTTTATTAAACGAAAACCTTAAATGTTTCATTGAAGTAATAAAATTATTGGGACGTAAATGACTGAAGTTTATTTTATATCAAACTGTGATTCAGGAGTACCAGCGGTGTTTCCATGAAACCAAGGAAAAGTTGAAACAAAGGCCCTCAGAAAGACAGTTTGACTTCAGTGAGCTGTACATTTTTGGAAAGTTCAATGCATTCCAGAGACGTCTCAACAAAATACTGGAAATGTTCGCCACCATGTCGACTTACTCTGTTCTGCAAGACTCCAAGATTGAAGGACTCGAAACTGTGGCCACCAAGTTTCAAGTGAGTAAAACTTGTCTCAAACTATTAAAAATARTTTCTTTCTTCTTTCAGCTCATGAATCATTGATCCCATTATTAGCCAGTTGAACTTGTAGTATTTTTCTCCTGTTAAGTATTTGAATGTTTTTCAAATGCTAATTGAAGCTTTTTACATCAAATGAGAGATTAAAATAGATTTTGGATTTCTCCTGTTTCAATAATACAACCAAAATGTTAGAAACTTTTCTTCTATGCGGTGGTTTATTGGGTTTCCTTGAAATCTACTCTGACATTCCTTTTTATTTTTTAAGTAACCATTTATTGGACATAAGAACATATTTAGGTGAAGCAGACCTATACTAAAGCCTCAAATTTACATTAATTTCTTTAAACAGTTTAATTCCAATACATGACAGCGTTTCCCTTGGATTACTGACTTTGGCTGGGTGCTTGTTGGACAGGGTGGGGATGAAAGTGGTGCACTGTTACCAGTGCTGGTGATTGTTGATGGAGGGTAAGAGGGGGTTGTAGAGTGTGACGTAACTAACTAATGCTACATCAGAACCATGTATCCCTTGGCTATAATCTCTGCTCCCTGTCTGGAAGTAGCTGAACTTTGGTGGTGGTGGTGGTGGTGGTGGTGGTGGTGGTGTGTGTGTGTGTGTGTGTGTGTGTGTGTGTGCCAGTTTTCATAGGCAGGTGCTTGGTTCTGTTGATCATAGGGGAAACGCTGCTTAAGTTCCAATAAGGTTTTGACAAAGAGATTTATTCTCCACTAGAACAGGTTATTGTTGTTTTCGTTCACAGATTTTGTTTTGAAAAGATATTTCTGTTTTTAAAGGTAGACTGCTTTGATTTATAAACTAATACGTGATCTTTGTGTTACTGTTTGTTGATGTAACATATGGGTGTGTTTCTGCTTCTTTACATGTACAGACTGCAGAAATGCAGGCAAAATGGGAGGTAATGTCTCACTGTGGTCTTCAGCTTTTATCAATGCATAGTCATATTTTCATTTTTTAAATTAGCTACTTGCAGTGCTTTCAATGTCTATAAACCACACCCTCTTTATATTTTTAACATACAGCACTAACTGCATGGGACATGAACAGATAACCATTTGTTAAAAGATTCATTCATCTGTGTTGCTCTTTTTAAAAAGCTAGTTCTATTACACTTTATGTATAATGTTTCCAATTTACTAATTTTGTGCTTGCAATATCTGTTTTGTGTTAGCCACATTGCAAAACCTGTCACCAGACGGCTTCTTTTTTTTCTTTTTGCTGTTTTTCCATACTTCTAAGTTACCTTAAAACTTCAGGAAAAAATACTGCTTACTTTATTTAATGCTGTTTGCCTTGGTGTTTCCATTATGATCCTATTTTATCTAACATATAAATGGCATAGTTCAGTACAATACTGACCTGTAACATTTATTACTATAAGTGATTACCTGTCAAACAGAACCTCAGTGTGCTACATGACAAGGTCAGATGAACATTCACTATACCAGTTTTTAGAAAGATGTTGGATTGAATTATGTGCAGGAAACTGATTCATTTCTCAGACTTGAACATTTTTTGCAGCCATGTAAAGTTTATCATGTCACATCACTGTGGGCCATCTCACTCTGAGCCAAAATGGTCATGAGTTACATGCACTTACAATGGTTGTACCAAACCTGGTGGTCACACCTCTGGGTGGTGGTCCTTCCTACGTCAGCATTGGAATAATGGTTTCTTTAGGCTTGTTAAACTAAATAAAGACTTATTGATTCCCTAACTGTTTAAAGTAAATGATTACAATTGATTACAAAGTATAAACTATAATTCTGCATCTGAAATTCAGTTAAGCACAAAATATCCTTCATTAGGAATTTATAACAATTTATCCAGGGACAGCAGATGAAAATTAGCCTTTGGCTTCTGGTGCATTTACAGAAATGTCAGTTAATGTGCATTGTCCCTTCTAAATAAATTAAAATAAATTAAATAACAACAAATAAAAAAAAATCTTTAAAAGTTCTTCATTCTGCTTACATTTATAAGAGCCTCACACTTATGTATTACATTTTTATTTTCCCTAAGTTGATCAAAGTACAAAGTCTTTCATACAATGTCTTATTATTCACCAATTCACATCCACTAATACATAATTTCTTTTATTCTACCCACTTCAGTAGAAAACATAACTGAATATTAGTTTCTTCATCATCAGTGACTTTTTTTCACTAATACATGATTTCTATTGGTTTTACACAAACATATTGTGTTTCTTGTACACAATACACTGTTGTACATATTGTAGTGTGTGTGTGTGTGTGTGTGTGTGTGTGTGTGTGTTTGTGTGTGTGTGTGTGTGTTTATATCTCATTGCATGGTTTAAGATGTGATGTTTCATTTCAACATTTATTCTAAACTTTGTTTTTAATCTTGAAGAACTTCCAGACCTTGGTTGATGTATTTTGAACACTACATATGAACGTTTTAATATACAGTTCTAACACACATCTGGAAGCAGGTGAAAATCAGGTTGATTAATTTGAAGAAGATTGTTGTGAAGATTGAAGATTGTTGTGCTGGAAGTTTTCCATAAAAAAACAATGCCTAATCTCTTGAATCTTTTGTTTTGAATCAGAATACATCTTTTATTACTTGTGCATATATGTTACATTTTTATTACTTGTGCATATATGTTTTAAACTGAATGTTTGTGTCTCATAGGTTATTGTGACCAATATGAAGAAAAAGCATTATAGTTTCCTAGACCACAAAAGAACTGACTTTGATGTTGACTATGAGGAATTCTGCAAAAACACAACTGAGCTCCATGTAAGTTAATTACTGTCACAAAATTACAAAAATGTTTATATGCTCTGTATAGCATAAAAAGGCTATCATAATTGTATTTTGCATATTATGCAAATTCTTTAGACAAGACATAAAATTCTGTTATAAACAGTGATATTTGTTTGTAGTTTACTTTAGGCCTTTATTTAAAAATTCCCGAAATCTGTCAAGTGCAAATGGGACAAAATACCTTTTATAAAACTTGACTCTTAAAAACACTTAGTTACAGTTGGAGTGGTGTGAAGACCTGAGGTTCAGAATCTAATAATGTGTGACTCAAACTGAAAGACCTATTATAACTTTAATAAACAGAATGAAAAAGCTGACGAGGCAATAAATAGCTAAAAAGAGAAACTAGGGAAGTCACAAGGAATTACAAGTTCAGGAACATAAGAAAACAGTACAGCAGAACAATGAAAGTGTTTACTATATGCTGGGGAGGTTCATAAGCAGATAAACAGGTATGACTGATTRCCTGAGAGCAAAGACAATTGATGGGTAAAAAGTCAAATAAAACAGGAGAACTAGGTTAACATCAAAACAACATCTATGAGAAAGTATGATTAAACAAAATTAACATGACGATAAAATAAACTAAATCTATAAACACACACACACACACACACACACACACACACACACACAAACACACCTCTGTGTGAATTAAACCTGCCCGCTGGTAGGTATCCCCTTTTATCAGGCATTAATTTGTCTTAAACATTCTTTGTAAAACTGAACCAAGCTAGTTTTGTCAAATTGTTTGGCTCAGGAACCAGTTACATACAATTTTGATCCTAAAACCCAGAGCTTTTTTATCTCAAGGTCAGTAAACTCAGAGTTTATGAATCAACCCAGAGTTGGTTAAGCTTTTTATTCTAGAATCTCCCTCTGAGACCAAAACAATGCATGCTTAAACAGCTTTATAACATTCAGGTTTTTTTTTTTTTTAGAATTTTGAAGGTCTAATACTGTATAAATCTAAGCTCAGTTCAAACAGTGCATTTAGATTTATTTTGGAGTGTGATGAAGTTTGGGTATGTTGATTATTAGGTTGTAGCTGAGTCATTTTAGTAAACTGTACTCTTGTTTGTGTTTGCATTTCCAGAACGAGCTAAAGAATTTCATGGATAAAACCTTTGAGAAGATTGAAGGTACAGAAAGAGCTTTAAATGTGCTGGCAAAGTTTGAAAGGTATGCTTGTATTGTTTTTTTTTCAATAACTTTGGTTTATATTTCAAAAATCTCTAAATCCTTGCTCCCTGTCTGTTATTTGACTTTCAACAACAGACTGGGCATTCCGGATCTCGGCATTTATGAAAAGTATCTGAGAATTTTTCAGAGTTATGGCCTCGACATCGAAATGGTGTCTCGCTTTTACATGAAACATAAAATGGATCCACCCATTGGCAGGGACATGCCACCAGTGGCAGGTCGGATAAAGTGGACTCGGCAACTGTACAGCCGAATCCAGGGTCCAATGGATVTCTTTAAAAAGGTTTTACAGAGTTTATGACTTTGTAGTTTGGCTGGGCTTTGGTTTTGTACATCCACAAGAATATCCAAGTCTTATAATGCTGTTCTATCCCTGTGTAGCGTCCAAATGTTTTTTCGACAGCTGACGCTAAGAGGATTATCAAGAACTTTAACAAGGTGGCACGGCTCCTGTTGGAGTATGAAATACTCTACCATCACAGCTGGATGACAAAGGTACAAAAAAGGCAGATAAGAATATAGATTAGGAAGTAAATTAAAACAGAATGAGGTAGTAAAACTGACATAAGGCATTTATGATCCCAATATGTATGGCATGCATAAATCAGGGTTTGTTTTGAAAATCTACTTAATCACTGATCCTTTCCATCACTCAGTGTTTCCCCTACCATTATACAGGCCAACGAGGTGGCCCGCCCCTCTAAGAATTTCACGGCATGTAGTCATTTTTTATTTAAATAAGGCCAGATCAAGTCGAGAGCTATTTTTTTGCGACCCTCCATATCCACCTCTCGGCAAACTTGGGGGAAAAGACGGCGCAGAGCGAGGCTGAGCGCTGTGTGTGGTCCTCACAAAGATAGGAAGACGTTTGTGAGTGATTAGACGCACAATGAAAACTCTGCTTCTAATCACGTAGCACCGATGCGACAGCTTTGCAAGCTACTTTTTCTTTCTTTAAAAGAAAATGTGACGGGTGAAGCCAAAGCATGGTTGCCTTAACAATAATTACTGCCCTTTTTTTTTTTCTCAGCTTCACTCAGCTGCAGGTGAACACCTCCCGCGTTTCCTGGACCATTTTCCACCGAGGATTACGTCGTATTTTATATATATTTATATTTCTAAAAAAAACACTTAGCAGCATTTCCCCTGTGTGTTCACGTCACGAACGCAACAAAACCGCGACCGATCAGCTGACTGTTTTTAAAACGAGGGGCAGTGACTTTACAGCAGCTGAACCTGTCCACCTGCAGCGCAGCTCCAACCAGACCGGGACTTTAGAGTTCATACATGTCAACCCCTTCAGACGTTTACGTGTTTAATG